GCGATCCGTTGCCGGACACGGAAAAAAGACAAAAGAAAAGTTGAGCATTGAATGTGAAGAAATTTTAGGAATACCTTAACTAGCGTAGATTGCTGATATTTTTCTTTTTACTTAGGCATGGTATATCGTTTTAAAAGTTTCTAAGTAAATCTAAAAGAGCTCTCTCAATATTTAAAAAATAAAATAAAAGTAAAAATTCTAAGCAATAAGAAAGCATGTTTCATAGTTTAATTGACTGTATTTTCTTTCTTAATGGTACATAAAATAATGTTGCTTCATATAAACAATACCATATTCAGTTTAATGAAACATGAGAGTTTGATTTACTGTTCAACTTATTATTTTACTACCTCCTATTATAATTTATGTTTTGTTATCTTAAGAACAACTAAGGAACAGGATACATATGCGAGTGAAGTTAACACTGTAAGTCAGTACATGAGTGATCAAAGGGTGGTCCAGCAGCCATCTATTACCTGGGGACTTGGTAGAATGCAAATTCTCAGGCCCCACCTCAGTCCTACTGAGTCAAAAATCTTAATGTGGGGCCCTTCAGCCTGTTTTAGCAAGTCCTACAGGTGATTTTGATGCAAGCTAAAGTTTGAGAACCATTGCTCTAAGCAGAATTTCAGACAAGGGAAAAATACTGGTGCTGTTATATTCAAGTCAGGTGCATGAGACTAAAAAAAACACAGATTCCTTAAGTTAGCTCAATTACATCTGCTAACAGTGTGTTTAAGAGGAATGAAGAAATTTACCATGGTGTATGTTAACCAACTACCAGTAATATAGACAGAGTAATGGAATAAATAGTCCAAGAACTGCATCTCCTTTGCTTTTGATTGATATTTGATCTTTGTCTTTTCAGCATGATGTATCCCAGACTTTACTCAAGGCAACACTGGACAGTGTTGTAGAAGAATGCGTCAGCTTTGTGGGAGTGGATATTAACATCTGTTCAGAAGTTTTGTTAAGGTGAGACAGGAAGTCTGTGGCTGAAGATCACAGAATCTTGAATTTAACTGGCTATCTAGTCCAAACTCTGCTAGAACAAGGGGACTTGTGTGTCAAGTTGTCAAGTATAGAAAAATCTGTGGGTTTATACATTGCTTTAGGTAATCAGTCAGAGGGGAAGACATCATTTAGGAAAAGAATTGTAACAGTTCACATTATCATTTTTAATATTGCAAATCTAAAATGAAGAGCATGTGGTAACCATTGAGTGTATTAGTGTCGCTAATAGAATTTAAATAAGATTAACCTGGAAAAGAGCTGTTTCCCACCACATGAAAGTAAATATTTTTCGCTGGTTCAGTCTCTTGAATGCATCTGTCAAAGCTGGCAGTAACCAAAAGATAAATTCTGAGGGTTCAAGGTATGGTTACCGTATTTGTACCCTAATTCCACAAATCACCTATCAAAAATTCCATCATACTGTAATCATATCTTATGTACTCTTTTTTCTCTGTGGCTATAGAATAGTTG